CACAGAGTCTTCTATCCTGGAGATAATTGGGAAGTAATCCAATTATCTCCAAGGACAGAGGCAAAACTCCATTGAACACATGGCAGCAAAAGACAATAAAACACATAAAAACATAACTGTGCAGCCATTGCACAAAACAGGTACATTCAACATATCCCCAGATAGCTCAGATCTGAGCGCACATTATTACTGAATGGCACTCAGAGCACACACATACAGTTCAATTGCCATGGAGCCAAAGTCTTTCCCATAGTCTTTCGTTATACAAATTTGCTCCATGGCATAGCTATCTGTGGTATCACCGCCAGCACTGAATGACCCGGCTTTCGTGTCCTCGCAGGGAAAAATCAAGCGTTTCAACATGGGGCCATAGTCCAAAGGCAACAGGCGAGCAACCAAGCTTCTCCAATGCAATGTGGCGAGATTGGTCTCATCACATCTCTCCCCTTTTCCAAACAGACTAACAGGGTATCTGACCTCCTGCCGGTCAGTGCCCTTGTTAGTCCAGCAGCCCACCCACAACACACAAACAGTAATACAGCCCACCCACAATAAATGGTTACTACACCTGGGTAGAGGAGAACTTTGTCCATGTCCAGGTGCCTCACCACGGCTGTGTGGGTGACTGGTAAGCTGACTTGGTGGGTTGCTGAGTGGGCAGAGACCAGTGGTACTCTGCCCTGGTGCCAGCGCTACCACGGGAGCAGCCTGGTTGAAGCCTGGTTGTTGGAGGGGGAGACCGACTGTCTCCCCTTGTGTTACACCGCTTGGTTGCTGGAGGGGGAGACCAAATGTCTCAACTTTGGCTAAACAGCCCTGTCGCTGGGGGGGCAGAACCGACCGTCCCTACCCCCTGTGCTGTAAATGCAGAGACCATGGTCCCATCTGCACGGTTGTGGGGCTTACTGTCTCTCCCTGGTACGTTAAGCTGCCGCTGGGGAGAAGGGGTAACAAGCTCCTCTCCCATATATACTTCCAGCCGCGGGGGAGTGAGACCGACTGTCTCTGCTCCCAATACAGAGTCCTGCTGCTGGGGAAAGGAGACTGGGCTCTCTATTCCCTGTAGGCCATTCTGCCGCTGGGGAATGGAGACTGGGCTCCCAATTCCCTGCTGTATCTCCCGCTAGGGAATGGAGACTGGGCTCTCAATGCCCAATAACTCATACTGCTGCTGGGGAATGGAGACTGGGCTCCCAATTCCCTGCAATTCATTCTGCTGCTGGGGGACAGGAGCAACTATCTCTGTCCCCTGTAACTCAGCCTGCCGCTGGGGAATGGAGACTGGGCTCCCTATTCCCACTAACTCATACTGCCACTGGGGAATGGAGACTGGGCTCCCAATTCCCTGCAATTCATTCTGCTGCTGGGGGACAGGAGCAACTATCTCTGTCCCCTGTAACTCAGCCTGCCGCTGGGGAATGGAGACTGGGCTCCCTATTCCCAATAACTCATACTGCCGCTGGGGAATGGAGACTGGGCACCCAATTCCCTGCAATTCACACTGCCGCTGGGGATCTGAGCCGACTGCCCAGCATCCCTGTAGCTCACCCTGCTGCTGGGGAGGGAGGACACTGCTCTCCTCTCCCTGCAAGGTACACTGCCGCTGGGGAGGGGAGACTATGCTCTCCACTCCCTGCACTTCACACTGCCGCTGGGGAAAGGAGACACAACTCTCTATTCCCTGCAAATCAATCTGCTGCTGGGGATCTGTGCTGACCACCCAGCATCCCTGTAGGGCCGGTGGAGAGACCTCGGTCCCATCTCCACCTGCTGCCTGGGGTTCCTCCCAGTAAATCTCAACAATATCTTCCCAGCTGAAGGGGTCTGGAACTGGATCTTTCACTCTGCTGTCCTGCGGAGCCTTCCCAATGGAGTGGAAGAGATCTCGGTAGTCCTGCTCCAGTTCCCACTCCAGGGTTGCTAGGTGAGCCAGGTCTTGCTCTACCTCATGGGGGTCATCCCAGTCATGCCTAGCCTCCCTCTCGTAGAAAATTTCCTGAAGTCTGTTCTGTGCAGGGCTCCCGAAGTCAGGCTCTGCAAAGGACTCCCATAACAAGCCAGGACCATCAAACTCCTCTCCCTCTGGCTTGTCATGCTCGGCAGTCCAGGGTATATACTGTGCCATATACCACCAGAGTGCCTGGTAGGCATCCTCCAGCCATAGCTCCTGCCATACCCAGTGCTCTAGTTCCTTCACCAATTCCTCCAGGGGCTGCTCTCCCAGGAAGGGCATCCGCAGGGCCACTTGCTTCTGCAACCGCTGCTCTTCACTGGGGAGACTCTCACCCCGCTGGTATTGTACATTATCCAGGGCCTGGTACCAGATGCCTTTCCTTAATGCATCCCGGCCATCCAGGTCCTCCTCCTCGTATAACACTGCTGTTTCCATTCTGTTGCTTTTAGGGTCACTGTACTGGGACATGCGTTGCCCCCACTTGTAAATCCAAAGAAATGGTGTCTCCTGTAGCTGTCCTTCTGGCTGTAGGAACGATCACGCCGCTTGCCGCCGCTTGCACCCTCAGCATAAAAGGGTTAAACCGCCTTTTAGGAGATCTTCCCTATAATGGACCGTTTTGCACAAAAGGGGAAAAAAAACGTTTAGGTGATCGGCCCCTTTCCGGAGATGCAGGCACAGCTACTGCAGAACACCAAACACACGAACAGCCAATAAGTGAATGCTCCAAACTCCCGAACGGCATCCAATATAGCACTCCAAATACACGAACAGGAACCATACGAATAGCTGCTAACAGACGAACAGGAAAAGCATCCAAGCGGCTTACACTCCTGGCAATCAGTCTCTATCAGCATACAGTGAATCCCCCCAAGAACGAGACAAGGCTCTGTGTTGAGGGTCAAGCAGTGGTCTGAGGTGCTGGCACACCCAGCCTGGTTTTTATTACAGTCTTGCAAATACAGGACCGCCCACAGGGAGGTATAAAACAACCAATCACATCACAGTTACATCCCACATATTCCCTCCCCTTATCCTGAGAGGAAACTCAATTACACATACAGTTAAAACATACTTTCTACCCAACTTTCATAACTCTAAAACCATACATCACATTCACATAAAATTACATATTCACAATCAATCCATTCAGGGGAACAACATATAAAAAAATGGCATGAATCCGACCAGGGGTTCAAAAGTTAGTAAAAGTATCTTTTGGGCCCTGGCTGGCACATGGATATCTGGCTCAAACAGGTTTTACAGAGCCCTCTATCCTGAGACAATGGGGAAAGTAATCCAATTATCCAGGGATAGAGGCAGACTCCATTGAGCACATGGTTGCAAAAAAGACATAAAACACTTTAAAATACATAAAGTCACCGTTTACACATAACACACAGACATTTCACATATCCCCAGATAGCTGGGATCTGAGCACACAAAACTACCGAATAGCGTTCAGATCCTATTCACACAGTTCAATTGCCATGGAGCCGAAGTCTTTAACTACACGAATGGGCTCCATGGCATAGCTATCTGGGTTAACACATTTACATAAAGTCTGGTCCATAGTCCAAAGGCAGCAGGCGGGCAGCCAGGCTTCTCCAATGCAATGTGGCGAGATTGCTCTCGTCACATTCCCCTTCCAGAGATACAGGCACAGCTACTGCAGAACACCAATCCGCCGAACAGGAAACCATATGAATGCCGTAAGCAGCCGAATAGGAAAAACCATCCGAATAGGTTTACACTCCTAGCAGTCGAACTGGAACAGCATACAATAAATCCCCCCAAGAACGAGACAAAGCTCCGTGTTGAGGGTCAAGCAGTGAACAGTCAGACAGAGCTGTGGGTTTATTGTCCTTATATACACCTTAGTACCCCCCACAGGGTTTTGGAACACAACCAATAAACACATACAATAGACTCAGACACTCCCACACAAAACCCTCCCCTCTGCCTGTGATTCAATTACCTTACACAATGGCTAATGTAATTATAACAAGCAGAGAAATACAATTTTTCCACATTATTCATAACTTGAAAAGTATGCATCACATTCACATAAAACTTACATTTTCAGAATCAGCATACTCCAAATACATACGTCAAAATCATACAAATTGGTCCAGTGGTTCAAAAGATAGATCGTAGTCCTTTGTGATCAAAGGAAGCATGGCTTTTCTGCTCAAAACCAGTTCCACAGAGTCTTCTATCCTGGATATAATTGGGAAGTAATCCAATTATCTCCAAAGACAGAGGCAAAACTCCATTGAACACATGGCAACAAAAGACAATAAAACACATAAAAATATATAACTGTGCAGCCATTGCACAAAACAGGTACATTCAACATATCCCCAGATAGCTCAGATCTGAGCGCACATTATTACTGAATGGCGCTCAGAGCACACACATACAGTTCAATTGCCATGGAGCCAAAGTCTTTCCCATAGTCTTTCATTATACGAATAGGCTCCATGGCATAGCTATCTGGGGTATCACTGCTCAAACAGGGCAAGCACCAAATGACCCGGCTTTCATGTCTTTGCAGGGGAAAATCAAGCCTTTTAACATGGGGCCATAATCCAAAGGCAGCAGGCGAGCAACCAGGCTCCTCCAATGCAATGTGGCGAGATTGGTCTCGTCACAGTAAGGAATACATGTTTGTATTAGTTTTAATATATGTTTGTGTTCCTGACCCTATAGTGTTCATTCCACATTATAACACCCCCACTCAGAAACCCCTCACCCCTTCATTAATGTAATACCCCACACCCTGTATTAAAGGAACAAGGAATACTGTAGGGTCAGAAACACAAACATGCATTCCTAACCCTATAGTGTAAAAAACACCATTTACACCCCCTGCCCCCTTTCATAGAAACATAGAATGTGACGGCAGATAAGAACCAATCGGCCCATCTAGTCTGCCCAATTTTCTAAATACCTTATCTTATAGTTAGGATAGCCTTATGCCTATCCCACGCATGCTTAAACTATTCCAGTCACTACACAAACTGACACTGCATCCACTACACAAACTGACACTGCATCCACTACACATACTGACACTGCATCCACTAGTGTAGTGGATGCAGTGTCAGTTTGTGTAGTGGATGCAGTGTCAGTATGTGTAGTGGATGCAGTGTCAGTTTGTGTAGTGGATGCAGTGTTTGTGTAGTGGATGCAGTGTGTGTAGTGGATGCAGTGTCAGTATGTGTAGTGGATGTAGTGTCAGTATGTGTAGTGGATGCAGTGTCAGTATGTGTAGTGGATGCAGTGTTTGTGTAGTGGATGCAGTGTCAGTTTGTGTAGTGGATGTAGTGTCAGTATGTGTAGTGGATGTAGTGTCAGTTTGTGTAGTGGATGCAGTGTCAGTATGTGTAGTGGATGCAGTGTTTGTGTAGTGGATGCAGTGTCTGTGTAGTGGATGCAGTGTCAGTATTTGTAGTGGATGTAGTGTCAGTATGTGTAGTGGATGCAGTGTCAGCATGTGTAGTGGATGCAGTGTCAGTATGTGTAGTGGATGCAGTGTTTGTGTAGTGGATGCAGTGTCAGTTTGTGTAGTGGATGTAGTGTCAGTTTGTGTAGTGGATGCAGTGTCAGTATGTGTAGTGGATGTAGTGTCAGTTTGTGTAGTGGATGTAGTGTCAGGCTGTGTAGTGGATGTAGTGTCAGTCTGTGTAGTGGATGCAGTGTCAGTTTGTGTAGTGGATGCAGTGTCAGTTTGTGTAGTGGATGTAGTGTCAGTATGTTTAGTGGATGCAGTGTCAGTTTGTGTAGTGGATGCAGTGTCAGTATGTGTAGTGGATGCAGTGTCAGTTTGTGTAGTGGATGCAGTGTCAGTTTGTGTAGTGGATGTAGTGTCAGTATGTGTAGTGGATGCAGTGTCAGTTTGTGTAGTGGATGTAGTGTCAGTTTGTGTAGTGGATGCAGTGTCAGTATGTGTAGTGGATGCAGTGTTTGTGTAGTGGATGCAGTGTCAGTTTGTGTAGTGGATGCAGTGTCAGTTTGTGTAGTGGATGTAGTGTCAGTTTGTGTAGTGGATGCAGTGTCAGTATGTGTAGTGGATGTAGTGTCAGTTTGTGTAGTGGATGTAGTGTCAGTCTGTGTAGTGGATGCAGTGTCAGTTTGTGTAGTGGATGCAGTGTCAGTTTGTGTAGTGGATGTAGTGTCAGTATGTTTAGTGGATGCAGTGTCAGTTTGTGTAGTGGATGCAGTGTCAGTATGTGTAGTGGATGCAGTGTTAGTTTGTGTAGTGGATGCAGTGTCTGTTTTTGTAGTGGATGCAGTGTCAGTTTGTGTAGTGGATGCAGTGTCAGTTTGTGTAGTGGATGTAGTGTCAGTATGTTTAGTGGATGCAGTGTCAGTTTGTGTAGTGGATGTAGTGTCAGTTTGTGTAGTGGATGCAGTGTCAGTTTGTGTAGTGGATGCAGTGTCAGTATGTGTAGTGGATGTAGTGTCAGTTTGTGTAGTGGATGTAGTGTCAGTTTGTGTAGTGGATGCAGTGTCAGTATGTGTAGTGGATGTAGTGTCAGTTTGTGTAGTGGATGTAGTGTCAGTTTGTGTAGTGGATGCAGTGTCAGTTTGTGTAGTGGATGTAGTGTCAGTTTGTGTAGTGGATGCAGTGTCAGTATGTGTAGTGGATGCAGTGTCAGTTTGTGTAGTGGATGCAGTGTCAGTATGTGTAGTGGATGTAGTGTCAGTTTGTGTAGTGGATGTAGTGTCAGTTTGTGTAGTGGATGCAGTGTCAGTTTGTGTAGTGGATGCAGTGTCAGTATGTTTAGTGGATGCAGTGTCAGTTTGTGTAGTGGATGCAGTGTCAGTTTGTGTAGTGGATGTAGTGTCAGTTTGTATAGTGGATGCAGTGTCAGTATGTGTAGTGGATGCAGTGTTAGTTTGTGTAGTGGATGCAGTGTCAGTATGTGTGGCAAACCTAGCCACTTGGACTATAACTAGAGACTATGCCTTTAAGGGTTGCCTATAGGTCTGGGGAGATATGCGCTTTACTCTTCTATGTATACTTAATGTATTCTCTGCATTGCCTGTAATTGCTGTTTCCGCCGAATGCAAATGGCGGTTTTGTATGGGGATTTTCTTTCGTTTCACGAACGGCACTTTAGAAAGCCGTTCGTGAACCGGACGCGATACCCCCTAATAGCCCACACACTTAGAGGCGTGTGGCGCTAGTTAACCGATTGCAACATTGTTGCAATCGGTTATTAGAGGCTCTCCTGGGTGGCCGTCGTTCGACTACCGACCATGCGGCGGTCGGCCATCTTGGATCCTTTGTTCCTCTGCGGTGCCGGGTCGTCGAACGCATAGTACTACCAATAGCTATTCGACGGCACGAACACCGCTGAGCCTCCAGGACGTTCGGGAGTTTCAGGATCGTGTTCACTAAAAACAATCGGTCCTTTTCGTATGTTTTAAAAGAAATGGGTTTTTCGTGCGGCGTTCGGTTATTTTAGCTGGGATCTGAGCGGTAATCTCATGAATGATGCGCTCAGACCCCAGCTATCTACCGAACGTCCATTCGTGTAAATTCACCGTGTATTTAACAAGTTATGTATTTTTGTTTAAATTGTCGGTTCTGCTGCACGAGGGGATAATCCCCTTAACGGTGCATTCTGGGAGGATGATCCCTCTCGTGCAGCGGTGCCTGATGGGAGAAATATGTTGTCATGTAAGTCCCCCATGTAGTCCCCTCTGGGAGTGCCCCTGGGAAGGGACTCAGGAAACCCCTTGCATGGGGACTTGTATAAATTGTCCTGCCGATTAAAAGGTTGTCAGTTGACTCTCAGAACTGTGTCTCGTCCGGTTACTGGGAGGTTGGGGATATTGCCTTATGATTTTTCAGCGCTTGACTGTGGATTCGTTTCTGAACCAGCGGAATTCGTGGATTTATAATTGGCGTTCCGCTACAGTATGTGTAGTGGATGCAGTGTCAGTTTGTGTAGTGGATGCAGTGTCAGTATGTGTAGTGGATGCAGTGTTAGTTTGTGTAGTGGATGCAGTGTCTGTTTTTGTAGTGGATGCAGTGTCAGTTTGTGTAGTGGATGCAGTGTCAGTATGTGTAGTGGATGCAGTGTCAGTTTGTGTAGTGGATGCAGTGTCAGTATGTGTAGTGGATGTAGTGTCAGTATGTGTAGTGGATGCAGTGTCAGTTTGTGCAGTGGATGCAGTGTCAGTTTGTGTAGTGGATGCAGTGTTTGTGTAGTGGATGCAGTGTCAGTATGTGTAGTGGATGCAGTGTCAGTTTGTGTAGTGGATGCAGTGTCAGTATGTGTAGTGGATGCAGTGTCAGTTTGTGTAGTGGATGCAGTGTCAGTATGTGTAGTGGATGCAGGTCTTTGTGTAGTGTAGTGGATGCAGTGTCAGTATGTGTAGGGTATGCAGTGTCAGTTTGTGTAGTGGATGCAGTGTCAGTATGTGTAGTGGATGTAGTGTCATGTGTAGTGGATGCAGTGTCAGTTTGTGCAGTGGATGCAGTGTCAGTTTGTGTAGTGGATGCAGTGTCAGTATGTGTAGTGGATGCAGTGTCAGTTTGTGTAGTGGATGCAGTGTATTTGTGTAGTGGATGCAGTGTCAGTTTGTGTAGTGGATGCAGTGTCAGTATGTGTAGTGGATGCAGTGTCAGTATGTGTAGTGGATGTAGTGTCAGTATGTGTAGTGGATGCAGTGTCAGTTTGTGCAGTGGATGCAGTGTCAGTTTGTGTAGTGGATGCAGTGTTTGTGTGGTGGATGCAGTGTCAGTTTGTGTAGTGGATGCAGTGTCAGTATGTGTAGTGGATGCAGTGTCAGTTTGTGTAGTGGATGCAGTGTCAGTATGTGTAGTGGATGCAGTGTCAGTTTGTGTAGTGGATGCAGTGTTTGTGTAGTGGATGCAGTGTCAGTTTGTGTAGTGGATGCAGTGTCAGTATGTGTAGTGGATGCAGTGTCAGTTTGTGTAGTGGATGCAGTGTCAGTATGTGTAGTGGATGCAGTGTTAGTTTGTGTAGTGGATGTAGTGTCAGTTTGTGTAGTGGATACAGTGTTTGTGTAGGGATGTACTTTGTGATATTCTGTCTCTCACTGTTAGAATACACCTACCATTAAAATTATAGACTGATCATTCCTTTGTCAGTGGAGAAACGTTCAAAATCAGCAGGGGATCAAATACTTTTTTCCATCACTGTATGTATGAATATCTCTATCTATATATATATATATATATAGTGTAAAATAGGGGCTGCCTTTTGTGGGAATAGAAAAAGTGTTTTGTTGGGCTTATTTTTACATTAATGTTAATAAATTCAAATTTAATTCCACCCGTCCTTGTTCTTACCTGTGGCCAGGGAGGGGGAGATTACATTCACTGGTGGTCTGGTGGCATTTTGCTGGGGACAAGGCACTGTATACTGCAAAGGGCACCCAGTAACATCATCTTCACTTTACAATTGCTCAGTTCTCCAACTCTGCTCCGGGAAACTCAGGCCCAGGTAGATATGGCTGTAAAGGGCCGGGGTCCCACAATCCCAATGTGTGTATGTGTATATATATATATATATATATATATATATATATATCAGTTATCGCTATATACATGTGGGCCGCAGCAGCCTGTATACTGCAGAGGAAGCCCAGCACATACCATCTTTATTTTGCAACTGCTTATTTCTCCAACTCTCGCAAGCTCCTCAGTCGTCAGAACCTTGCCACGGGACACCATGGCAATGCTCCACATGGCACAAGCTGAGCTCGCAAGAGTTTGAGAAAGGAGCTGCTGTAAAATGAAGATGGCATGTGCTGGGTCCCTTTCTGCTCCCCGAGCAGTCCCCTGGGGTCCAATGGGAATCTTCTCCCTTGGGTCCAGTGGGGATCTTCTCCCTGGGGTACAGTTGGCATCTTCTTCCAGGGGGCCTAGTATGGATCTTCTCCCTAAGGTCCAGTGGAGATTTTCTCCCGTGGATCCAGTGGGGAAGAGATTGTCACCCCGGAAATCTCCCTGCAGTCTTCCAGTTCCTGATTGCTCCCCCGTGCTGTTTAGTGATGCCGAGAATGGAAAGATGTAAAATTTCAGCTCCCGGCATCACCACAGACAGGGAGCAGTGAGGAACTGGAAACACATCCATGCTCCCTAGTGCCCTCACCACCTGCCTCCTCTCTTCCTCGCCAGTATATAGACATGCCATGTGGGGTAAGAAGGTGCCTACTCTGCATTACTGAGTAAGTGCCCGATTTGGGGGCTATCTAAGGTGGGTTACTGGTGGGTGCTAAATTAAAATAAATAAATTACTGTTTGTACTAAATTTTTATCCTGTGTGTGCTCCCTCAAAAAGATGTATGCGCGCACAAGCACACACATTAAAGGGAATACTGACTGTGATCATATTTATGTATGAATTATAAATACAGTTAAAATAGAGTTATGTATGTATGTGGATAACAAGGACTTTGTAAAGAAGATCATGGAGGTAGAACCCGTAATAATATATAACTCACAATAATATATAGGGCAGTTTTATCATTAAGGGTAAGAGAAGGGTCCGTAAAAAGCTACAGAGATTTCACCTTGCTCATTTACCTTTCCATCTCCTTGAGCTTTTCCTTGTTCAGTTTGTTTAAAATAATTTCCATTAAATACATAATTAACATGTCACCTTCTCAGTCTAAAGGAACAAATGATAGGCTTTATTCCAAGTCAAATAACACTTGGCAGTTCATTATCTGTCTTTAATAGTGAGATTGGAAATCAGGGCTATTTTCTATGGGTTAGAGTCAGGTCAAGGTGAGAAAGGTCTATGTGTTCCCCATAAATCGGTTCTTACAGTATTGGTTTAACCTTGCTGTAATGCTACTTCACCCAACACGTGCTGAAATTCCACAGGTGGTGTTTGTGCCATTGGGGTTCATCATGTTGTGATTAGCGTTCTGTCCATGACACCGGGGCCGGTGTTGGGTTCTGGCCATGACACCAGGGCCGGTGTTGCGTTCTGTCCATGACACCGGGGCCAATGTTGAGTTCTGTCCATGACACCGGGGTAGGTGTTGCGTTCTGTCCATTACACCAGGGCCAGCGCCGGCGTTGTGTTCTGTCCATTACACCAGGGCCGGTAGTGTTCTGTCCATTAGACCGGGGCCAGTGTTGAGTTCTGTCCATGACACCGGGGCCGGTGTTGTGTTCTGTCCATGACACCGGGGCCGGTGTTGTGTTCTGTCCATGACACCGGGGCCGGTGTTGTGTTCTGTCCATGACACCGGGGCCGGTGTTGTGTTCTGTCCATGACACCGGGGCCGGTGTTGTGTTCTGACCATGACACCAGGGCCGGTGTTGTGTTCTGTCCACAATAATTAACCCCTTAAGGACACAAGATTCCCTTTTATTCCAGAAGTTATGTCCTTAAGGGGTTAAACTGTATACCGTACATTAAGCTGTATACCGTACATTAAGCTGTATACTGTATTTAAGCTGTATACCGTACATTAAAGGACCACTATAGTGCCAGGAAAACTGTAACGGCACCCCCAGGCATAAAAGGGTTAAACCGCCATTTAGAAGATCTTCCCCTTCCAGAGACACAGGCAGCTACTGTAGACACCAATCCACTGAACCGGAGAAGCATATGAATGCTCTCAAACATACGAATGTTGTAAACAGACGAATAGGAAAAACCATATGAATAGGTTTACACTCCTAGCAGTCGAACTGGAACAGCATACAATAAATCCCCCCAAGAACGAGACAAGGCTCAGTTTTGAGGGTCAAGCAAGAACAGACAGAGCTGTGGGTTTATTGTTTTTATATACACATTCTTACACATTAGTACCACCCACAGGGTTTTGGAAAACAACCAATAAACACATACAATACACACAATCCTCCCCTCTGCCTGTGATACAATTACCTTACACAATGGGTAATGTAATTATCACCGGCAGAGAAATACAGTTTTTCCACATTATTCATAACTTGAAAAGTATGCATCACATAAAACTTACATTTTCAGAATCAGCATACTCCAAATACAAACATACGTCAAAATCATACAAATTGGTCCAGTGGTTCACAAGATAGATCGTAGTCTTTTGTGACCAAAGGAAGCATGGCTTTTCTGCCCAAAACCAGTTCCACAGAGTCTTCTATCCTGGAGATAATTGGGAAGTAATCCAATTATCTCCAAAGACAGAGGCAAAACTCCATTGAACACATGGCAGCAAAAGACAATAAAATACATAAAAACATATAACTGTGCAGCCATTGCACAAAACAGGTACATTCAACATATCCCCAGATAGCTCAGATCTGAGCACACATTATTACTGAATGGCGCTCAGAGCACACACATACAGTTCAAAAGCCAAAGTCTTTCCCATAGTCTTTCATTATACGAATGGGCTCCATGGCATAGCTATCTGGGGTATCACCACTCAAACAGGGCCAGCACCGAATGACCCATCTTTCGTGTCCTCGCAGGAAAAAATCAAGCGTTTCAACATGGGGCCATAGTCTAAAGGCATCAGGCGGGCAACCAGGCTCCTCCAATGCACAGTGGCGAGATTGGTCTTGTCACAAAAACATACTCGTTTTCCTGGCAATATAGTGCCCCCACCCTCAGGGTCCCCCTCCCGCCGGGCTCTGGGGAGAGGAAGGGGTTAAACACTTTGTTAAGACACCTCCCGTGTCTTTAAGCCAACCCGCCGTTTAGTAAACCTTCCCCGGCTGCAGTACAGTCTCTGTTCGCTTACTCTGTAACCCACGAACCAAATGTAGGGGAAGCGGCAATCTCCCGATCGAAATCCACGAACGGCTCCAAACTCCCGAACGGCAATATACGAACTGCTAGGAACCGTCGAACAATAATATCCCCAAAGCGGCTTTCGTTCCATCCAGCAGTCTCTAAACGTGAAGAAGAAATCCCCCCAATAACGAGACAGAAGCTCCGCATTGAGGGTCAAATAAGATCTGGGTTTACTGTGGGCTACCTGCCCGTATTTATGCAGGTCTCCCACCTGGTGGACACTCCCCTAGGGGACCAAATGGAAGACTTAAAGTACAGACAGATAGAAGGACATTTCTGACACACAGTCACATATCTTACCCACAGTGCATTCTGATTCCCTCCCCTCTGTCCTGGAGTTAATTACTAAGTAACTCAATTAACTCCAGGACAAGGACAGTCGCCATTTTAAACATAAAATAATAAAAGACATAAAAATGCATAACTACATGAAAACTGAACATTTCCCATTCGTATTACATGTCCCCAGATAGCCTGGATCTGAGTGCATATTATTGGCGAATAGCGCTCAGATCCCACACACATAGTTCAATCGCCAGGGAGTCAAAGTTCTTACAGTCCTTCGGTATACGAATGACTCCATGGGTGGGCTATCTGGGTTAAGTCTTTTGTATGCTCTCAATCTCCCGAACAGCCGGTGTTCGCATGCTTTCGTGGAGGCAGCCAGGCGTTCCCTTGTTTCAGCGGTGTTCGACAGAAAAAGTGTCCGTTTTCCGTTCCATAGAAATAGAGCCAAACACCGCTGAGCGTTCGCATGATTTAAAATGGCCGCTGCCTCGTGGTCGACATACGAACGACGACCACCCTGAGTTCGGTTTAATTGAGAAGTGTCTGCGGTTAACCACAACGTTATAATGGTGATCACTTCGTTAACCTGCAGCACACTCCTCACTTGGGTGGCCGTTCGTTCGGCAGATTTGTTCGGGAAAAAAGAGTCATTCGAATGGCTGGGCTATAGAAACCAGCCATTCATACGAACGGGGACAAACAGACGAACGGGCAAAAATCCAGCAGACAGATGGTTCTGTCACACACTTACCTTTCTCCAGCGCTGGGCGGGGAGCTTTCCTCCTCCTCTCCTTCTTCCTAGCGACGTCATCGGCTGAATGTGCATGCGCGACAGGAGCTGCGCGCGCATTCAGCCAGTCTCATAGGAAAGCATTCATAATGCTTTCCTATGGACGCTGGCGTCTTCTCACTGTGATTTTCAATGAGACAGCCACTAGAGGCTTTAGAGGCTGGATTAACCCTGATTCTCTGAAACTGCTAGGTTTATAAAAAAAAAAAAAAGGATTAATTCTATCTGGACCTGGCACCCAGACCACTTCATTAAGCTGAAGTGGTCTGGGTGCCTATTGTGGTCCTTTAAGCGGTATACTATACAATAAGCTATATATCGTACATTAAGCTGTAGTGGTTCTGGTGACTATAGTGTCCCTTTAATTTGAGGTAAATTAGAGATTAGTGCCACAATAATATATTGGATTGCCTACTTACCATCAGATGAGGACAAGAGTATGATGATGGGCTCAGGCTGCAGTCTGGCTCCACAGGTCTGGTGTAGAAGAGACTCTCTGGAGACTGTTTGTAACCGTGCTCATAACAATTAACAAACAGGAAGCAGCTCCTTTTTATGGGGCCCCTTACACAGCTCAAGGTCTGGGCCCCCAGGGCCTGACCGTGAGTATGCCTACATGGCCCACCCATGAGTTCTCTCACAGTAAGTGGAGTGTATGTGTGTAGAGGATGTGTTATGTGTTATTGTAGAGGATGTAATGCAGTGTAAAGGGATACCAATTTGTGTAAGGGATGTAGTGTGTGTGTATAGGGGATGCAGTCTGTGTCTGTGTGTAAGGAATGCATTGTATGTTTCTGGGTGTGTGTGTGTAAGGGATGCAAGGTCTGTTTCTGTGTATGTCATTTAATGCAGTGTGTGTCTGTAAGGGGTGCAGTGAGTGTGTGTAAGAGAAGCAGTGTGTGTGTGTGCGTGTAAGGGATGCATTGTATGTTTCTGTGTGTGTAGGGATGCATTGTATGTTTGTGTGTGTATGTAGGGATGCATTGTGTTTTTCTGTGTGTGTGTAGGGATGCATTGTGTTTTTTTGTGTGTGTGTAGGGATGCATTGTATGTTTGTGTATGTATGTAGGGATGCATTGTGTGTTTCTCTGTGTGTGTGTAGGGATGCATTGCATGTTTCTGTGTGTGTGTGTGTAGGGATGCATTGCATGTTTCTGTGTGTGTGTAGGGATGTATTCTGTGTTTCTGTGTGTGTGTGTGTGTGTAGGGATGCATTGTGTGTTTATGTGTGTGTGTGTGTAGGGCTGCATTGTATGTTTCTGTGTGTGTAGGGCTGCATTGTGTGTTTCTGTGTGTGTGTGTAGGGATGCATTGTATGTTTCTGAGTGTGTGTGTAGGGCTGCATTGTATGTTTCTGTGTGTGTAGGGCTGCATTGTGTGTTTCTGTGTGTGTGTGTAGGGATGCATTAGGTGTGTGTAGGGATGCATTGTATGTTTCTGTGTGTGTAGGGATGCATTGTGTATTTCAGTGTGTCTGTGTGTGTGTGTGTAGAGATGCATTGTGTGTGTGTAGGGATGCATTGTATGTTTCTGTGTGTGTGTAGGGATGCATTGTGTGTTTGTGTGTGTGTGTGTGTGTGTGTGTGTGTAAGGATACATTGTATGTTTCTGTGTGTGTTTGTGTAAGGATGCATTGTGTATGTGTGTAGCGTAAAAGAGAGGGTTTGTGGGGTCGGATAGGGGCTGAGAGGGGACAGCTCTTTATTTTTTTTGTTGGTCCTCTCACTACCCCCTCTCCCACAACCCGTTAGTGGTCCCCCCCCCCTCTAATGGTCCTCTCCAGTCCCCTCTCCCTCACCCCCATCCACTTAGTGGTCCTCCCTTTCCCCCCACCACCTTAGCAAAAAATTAAGTCAACCAATCACTTGCAGGCAAAATGTGTCAGGTCCCAAAAACTGGCTAGTCTTTAGTCACTTCTGCACACAACTCTGATATCTCTGTCATGTGTCTCTCTAATACAGCATGGGGTCTAATTAACCCAGTAAATGCTGGATTGGTACCAGGTCTCTCTATTAGCAGTGTAATGCGGTATGGGGGTGTAATTAACCCAGTAAATGCTGGATTAGTACCAGGTCTCTCTATTAGCAGTGTAATGCGGTATGGGGATCTAATTAACCCAGTAAATGCTGGATTAGTACCAGGTCTCTCTATTAGCAGTCTAATGCGGTATGGGGCTCTAATTAACCCAGTAAATGCTGGATTAGTACCAGGTCTCTCTATTAGCAGTGTAATGCGGTATGGGGGTCTAATTAACCCAGTAAATGCTGGATTAGTACCAGGTCTTTCTATTAGCAGTCTAATGCGGTGTGGGGGTCTAATTAACCCAGTAAATGCTGGATTAGTACCAGGTCTCTCTATTAGCAGTGTAATGCGGTG